ATCCATATGTCACATGGAATGTCCATATGTCACATATAAGGTATATATGTCACACAGAAGGTCTAAATGTCACGTACAAGGTCCAAATATCACATATAAGGTCTAAGTGTCACATGTTATGTCCAAACGTCACATATAAGGTCCAGATATCACATATAAGGTCTAAACGTCACATATAAGGACTAATTGTCACATATAAGGTCCAAATATCACATATAAGGTCTATATGTCACATATAATGTCCAGATATCACATATTTGGTCTAAATATCACATATAAGGTCTAAATGTCGAATAGTATATTGACATGTCACATTTACAGTTGGTCATATCACCTTCATTTGGTACCTAAAAATGTTGGTTAAATCACAAATAACTTGTTAAATAATGAATATCTAAATATCACATGTAATACTCAAACGTCACAAATAAGGTCCAAATATCACATAGAAGGTCCAAATATCACATATAAGGTCTAAAGGTCACATATAAGATCCATATGTCACATGGAATGTCCATATGTCACATATAAGGTATATATGTCACACAGAAGGTCTAAATGTCACGTACAAGGTCCAAATATCACATATAAGGTCTAAGTGTCACATGTTATGTCCAAACGTCACATATAAGGTCCAGATATCACATATAAGGTCTAAACGTCACATATAAGGACTAATTGTCACATATAAGGTCCAAATATCACATATAAGGTCTATATGTCACATATAATGTCCAGATATCACATATTTGGTCTAAATATCACATATAAGGTCTAAATGTCGAATAGTATATTGACATGTCACATTTACAGTTGGTCATATCACCTTCATTTGGTACCTAAAAATGTTGGTTAAATCACAAATAACTTGTTAAATAATGAATATCTAAATATCACATGTAATACTCAAACGTCACAAATAAGGTCCAAATATCACATAGAAGGTCCAAATATCACATATAAGGTCTAAAGGTCACATATAAGATCCATATGTCACATGGAATGTCCATATGTCACATATAAGGTATATATGTCACACAGAAGGTCTAAATGTCACGTACAAGGTCCAAATATCACATATAAGGTCTAAGTGTCACATGTTATGTCCAAACGTCACATATAAGGTCCAGATATCACATATAAGGTCTAAACGTCACATATAAGGACTAATTGTCACATATAAGGTCCAAATATCACATATAAGGTCTATATGTCACATATAATGTCCAGATATCACATATTTGGTCTAAATATCACATATAAGGTCTAAATGTCGAATAGTATATTGACATGTCACATTTACAGTTGGTCATATCACCTTCATTTGGTACCTAAAAATGTTGGTTAAATCACAAATAACTTGTTAAATAATGAATATCTAAATATCACATGTAATACTCAAACGTCACAAATAAGGTCCAAATATCACATAGAAGGTCCAAATATCACATATAAGGTCTAAAGGTCACATATAAGATCCATATGTCACATGGAATGTCCATATGTCACATATAAGGTATATATGTCACACAGAAGGTCTAAATGTCACGTACAAGGTCCAAATATCACATATAAGGTCTAAGTGTCACATGTTATGTCCAAACGTCACATATAAGGTCCAGATATCACATATAAGGTCTAAACGTCACATATAAGGACTAATTGTCACATATAAGGTCCAAATATCACATATAAGGTCTATATGTCACATATAATGTCCAGATATCACATATTTGGTCTAAATATCACATATAAGGTCTAAATGTCGAATAGTATATTGACATGTCACATTTACAGTTGGTCATATCACCTTCATTTGGTACCTAAAAATGTTGGTTAAATCACAAATAACTTGTTAAATAATGAATATCTAAATATCACATGTAATACTCAAACGTCACAAATAAGGTCCAAATATCACATAGAAGGTCCAAATATCACATATAAGGTCTAAAGGTCACATATAAGATCCATATGTCACATGGAATGTCCATATGTCACATATAAGGTATATATGTCACACAGAAGGTCTAAATGTCACGTACAAGGTCCAAATATCACATATAAGGTCTAAGTGTCACATGTTATGTCCAAACGTCACATATAAGGTCCAGATATCACATATAAGGTCTAAACGTCACATATAAGGACTAATTGTCACATATAAGGTCCAAATATCACATATAAGGTCTATATGTCACATATAATGTCCAGATATCACATATTTGGTCTAAATATCACATATAAGGTCTAAATGTCGAATAGTATATTGACATGTCACATTTACAGTTGGTCATATCACCTTCATTTGGTACCTAAAAATGTTGGTTAAATCACAAATAACTTGTTAAATAATGAATATCTAAATATCACATGTAATACTCAAACGTCACAAATAAGGTCCAAATATCACATAGAAGGTCCAAATATCACATATAAGGTCTAAAGGTCACATATAAGATCCATATGTCACATGGAATGTCCATATGTCACATATAAGGTATATATGTCACACAGAAGGTCTAAATGTCACGTACAAGGTCCAAATATCACATATAAGGTCTAAGTGTCACATGTTATGTCCAAACGTCACATATAAGGTCCAGATATCACATATAAGGTCTAAACGTCACATATAAGGACTAATTGTCACATATAAGGTCCAAATATCACATATAAGGTCTATATGTCACATATAATGTCCAGATATCACATATTTGGTCTAAATATCACATATAAGGTCTAAATGTCGAATAGTATATTGACATGTCACATTTACAGTTGGTCATATCACCTTCATTTGGTACCTAAAAATGTTGGTTAAATCACAAATAACTTGTTAAATAATGAATATCTAAATATCACATGTAATACTCAAACGTCACAAATAAGGTCCAAATATCACATAGAAGGTCCAAATATCACATATAAGGTCTAAAGGTCACATATAAGATCCATATGTCACATGGAATGTCCATATGTCACATATAAGGTATATATGTCACACAGAAGGTCTAAATGTCACGTACAAGGTCCAAATATCACATATAAGGTCTAAGTGTCACATGTTATGTCCAAACGTCACATATAAGGTCCAGATATCACATATAAGGTCTAAACGTCACATATAAGGACTAATTGTCACATATAAGGTCCAAATATCACATATAAGGTCTATATGTCACATATAATGTCCAGATATCACATATTTGGTCTAAATATCACATATAAGGTCTAAATGTCGAATAGTATATTGACATGTCACATTTACAGTTGGTCATATCACCTTCATTTGGTACCTAAAAATGTTGGTTAAATCACAAATAACTTGTTAAATAATGAATATCTAAATATCACATGTAATACTCAAACGTCACAAATAAGGTCCAAATATCACATAGAAGGTCCAAATATCACATATAAGGTCTAAAGGTCACATATAAGATCCATATGTCACATGGAATGTCCATATGTCACATATAAGGTATATATGTCACACAGAAGGTCTAAATGTCACGTACAAGGTCCAAATATCACATATAAGGTCTAAGTGTCACATGTTATGTCCAAACGTCACATATAAGGTCCAGATATCACATATAAGGTCTAAACGTCACATATAAGGACTAATTGTCACATATAAGGTCCAAATATCACATATAAGGTCTATATGTCACATATAATGTCCAGATATCACATATTTGGTCTAAATATCACATATAAGGTCTAAATGTCGAATAGTATATTGACATGTCACATTTACAGTTGGTCATATCACCTTCATTTGGTACCTAAAAATGTTGGTTAAATCACAAATAACTTGTTAAATAATGAATATCTAAATATCACATGTAATACTCAAACGTCACAAATAAGTCCAAATATCACATGGAAGGTCCAAATATCACATATAAGGTCTAAAGGTCACATATAAGATCCATATGTCACATGGAATGTCCATATGTCACATATAAGGTATATATGTCACACAGAAGGTCTAAATGTCACGTACAAGGTCCAAATATCACATATAAGGTCTAAGTGTCACATGTTATGTCCAAACGTCACATATAAGGTCCAGATATCACATATAAGGTCTAAACGTCACATATAAGGACTAATTGTCACATATAAGGTCCAAATATCACATATAAGGTCTATATGTCACATATAATGTCCAGATATCACATATTTGGTCTAAATATCACATATAAGGTCTAAATGTCGAATAGTATATTGACATGTCACATTTACAGTTGGTCATATCACCTTCATTTGGTACCTAAAAATGTTGGTTAAATCACAAATAACTTGTTAAATGATGAACAATATCTAAATATCACATGTAATACTCAAATGTCACACATTAGGTACACATATCACATGTAAGGTCTAAATATCACAAATAAGGTCTCAATGTCACATTTAAGGTCCATAAGTCACATATAAGGTCTAAATGTCACATATAAGGTCCATAAGTCACGTATAAGGTCTAAATGTCACATATAAGGTCCAAATATCACATATAAGGTCTATATGTCACATATAATGTCCAGATATCACATATTTGGTCTAAATATCACATGTAAGGTCTAAATGTCGAATAGTATATTGACATGTCACATTTACAGTTGGTCATATCACCTTCATTTGGTACCTAAAAATGTTGGTTAAATCACAAATAACTTGTTAAATGATGAACAATATCTAAATATCACATGTAATACTCAAATGTCACACATAATGTACAAATATCACATGTAAGGTCTAAATATCACAAATAAGGTCTCAATGTCACATTTAAGGTCCATAAGTCACATATAAGGTCTAAATGTCACATATAAGGTCTAAATGTCATATATAAGGTCCAAATATCACATATAAGGTCTAAATATCACATATAAGGTCTAAATGTCACATATAAGGTCTAAATGTCACATAGAATTTTGACATGTCATATTTACAGTTAAGTGTGATAGATATACGTTCTAAAGGAGACATCAACAATTCGCTTGGACTAACCAGGATAGTAAATCATATGAATGCCTTGCGCAACCAAATATTTGGTCTTTTGCCGTCTCCTTAGCACGCCAAGCTTTAGAATAATTAACTCTTAATCCATATTGAGAGTGCAATTCCTTTCTAATGTCAGTTGGGGTAATATATGGACGCCTCTTCATAATTGATTGTAGCATACTCGCAATCCACCTTCTTGATGCTCTGAAGTGACCAGCTGTGCTGTTATGTTGTCCGCATGTATGTTGAGGAACAAATTTTTTTATAGCAAAGGTTGACACATTCCTCAATGGTGAAGCGAAAAGCAACCACGGGCATTTTGTTTCTTTTCTGAACATGCAACTAGCACGAATACGTTTTGGCTCATTGTTAACATAATTAAAAGCAAACTTCTTAGCTATAGAGTAGTATATAAGAGCCATTCTAACTTCTTTTGCACTTTCAAATTGCTGCCCTTTTCCAGTAATTGCCTCGTGCCACCATGCTGGGATCCGTGACGAGTCACTTACTACATCGTTCATCATCCACACATGCTCTCCTTGAGGGTTGTCGTTTGGGATCCTCTCTGATTCCTCGATTGTGATCCTCTCATAAGGTTCCTCGATATGCTCTGATGACTGTGTGCTAACATTAGGAACACTGCAGGTTGAAAGATAAGGTCACAAGTAAGTCACGTGTGATACTTACCAGTAAAGTCACATATAAGACCTAAGTATCACAAATAAAGTCCATATGTCACAAATAAAGTCAACTTGTCACGTTGGATGTCTTCAGGTCACATATATAACGTAATATGTCACGTGTATCCAGAACCTGAAAATATATTTTTGAATACTTACCTAAGCTCCGTTTCTGTCCCTATGGCATGAGTGGGTCCTTCATCTCTTTTAGTAACAGTCATGGTTACTGTATTTAACCCCATTGAACGATGATAATCTATCATGTTGAGAATATCTTCATCTTTTGAAAGCTCAAATGAGACATTGGGAAACTTCTCGATAGAGTAACTTATCAACAAACTTTCGTACGATTCTCTAAAATTCTCTGCAACGATCATCTTCAATTCAGCAAATATTGTTGTCGAATTGACTTTAATGAGGGTTGCATTACTGTTAAATGAAATAACACACATTAAGGAATCTTCCATTGTGGTTGTTGAAGAAGTTAAGAGGAAAAAGTTAAGAATATAAATGGTTGTTGAAGGTCTTAGTAGTAGATCTAAAGAGGGAAGAGTATATATTACATTGAAATGAGGCATGAACAATTTTGGAGGGAACTTAGTATATTTTTCCCTCCATTTTTCCCTTTTCCCTCCATAAAACCTCTCTCTAGCTAGAAACGGAAGTGACTTCAAATCTGACTTCCGATTTGATGGGTTGCTTTGCTGGCCAACAAGATAAAAAAACTCACCTGGTATTCCCAAAATCGGAGGAGTACAAAGGGTAAAAAGGGCAATTGGCAAAAATACACTATAAAGTATATATACAATCTTGGGTTTGGGGTGTAAAAGCATTACAACTTGGGTCAAGGTGCCCCCAAGTGGTTGACTTTAGTTGGAGGGTGGGGATGAATGGGCCAAATTAAGTTGGTTCCCCCAAGCAATTTTCCCTTTTTTTTTTTATGAAATCTATGGACCCTACAAAGATGTGATGCCCTAGGCGCCAGCTGACTTTGAAAAACCCCAGCTTCACCCTTTAGTTTTCAGCTTTGAACCTAAATTTGCCCGCCGGGGATCCTTTTCCCCTTCAGCATTTTCCCTTTAATAAGAGGTAGAGACGATGGGATCGTTGTCTCCAGCGACGCCAGGGTGAGAAATCCTTATCGTCCGCTTCGTTCGCCGACGGCCTCGAGGTCAGCATTTTTTTATTTTTTTTTGGTTATTGGAGGAATTTATCTATCCTTTTCCATTGTCATTGCGAATCTGTATTCTTGAGGGCTCCCGTGTAGAAGCCCCTGACTCCAGTGGATTCCGCCGATGAATAACTATGGTGTTAGGATGAACTGACTGACATTGACAATTAGGCATAGCTGATTCTTGGTTTTATTTTTGGGAAAAATGCTTCCAGCCCCCAAAACACAAGAAAAAACGCTTCCCACCCCCAAGACTTTTTCAACGCCCTCAAAACCCCCAAATTCGTAATAACTATGCACTGAGCCCCCAAAACACAAAGCCCAAGAATTTTACACAACTAAAGACTATAATACCCTTTATCTCTCTTATGGGCATTGATTACCTCCTCCCCCCTCCAGTGCTTCTCCCTGATGTCCCTATCCCCGACCGTCGTCGTCCCCTGCGGCGTCCGCGAGCTCAAGTCCGACGAGCGCGGGCTCTACCTCATCCACCTCCTCCCTCCTCACCGCGCCAACCACATCGCCGCCGGCTCCCTCGACCACGCCAACGGCTGCCTCGGCGAGATCGCTGACGGCGAGGTCGCGGAGCTCGCCGGAGATCTCGTTGGAGGCGAGAGAAAGGACCCTGAGCTCGGCGGAGGAGGGATCGAGAGGGGATTTTGGTTTTGGTCCTAACTGTTTAAAGGTTTGACCAAATGGGTATTTAAGACGATCCTAACTGTTTAAAGGTTTGATCGTTCAATTTGTGGACCTCTCGTTCATGGAACGAATCGAGAGGGGATTTTGGCTTCGGTCCTAACTGTTTAAAGGTTTGACCAAATGGGTTTTGTGAGGGAAGATTGATCTAACGAAGTGATCGAATCTCATCTCAGCAAAAGAGTGTTCGAAAATCATAATAGGAGCTTAGTATTTATCATTCTGTCCATAATAATCGGGTTATCCCTAAGAATATTATATTTAACATTCTTCCAGGAACTTCCCATTACATGAATTATCGACCCCCAGCTTTCTTTGTAAAACTGGGTATAACGAGGAGTACGTTAACCTCAGTCATATGTTCGGGTTATCCTTAAGAATATAGGATTCTCCAGGAACTTCCCGTTAAGGAAAGGAAATAGTTTAGACTCATATACCTTTTGGAGTATCGAGGAGCAGTTTATACTCGTATACTTTTCGGAGTGAGGGGAAACAGTTTATACTCGTGTACCCAATGGAGTTGGGGAAAACAGTTTATACTCGTGTATCCGATGGAGTAATATGGTCGTCTTTACTCGACTTCTTTGGCCGTTATGACGCCGGAGTCAATTAAGGCTTGGATTTTGTTTTTGAGTCCAAAGCAAATTTCGGTGGGATGAAGAATCCTTCTGTGGTACGCACAGTAATTTGGATCCGTAATCATCTTAGCTCCATCCTGATCTTTAATAGGTGGTAGCTCGATTTTGTCATTAGCGAGGAGGTATTCCAATATGGCTGGAGCTTCATCCTCTTCGAATGAATATTCTTTTTGAAACTTCGGATCGAAAGTTGCGTTCCCAATGATTGCAGATGTCATTTGTTGGCCTTTCTCAGCTTCCTTTCTTTTAAGAAAGTGTTCAGCTTGTTCGCCACGAAATTTTAACTCCTTCCAAGTTGTGGACGGCTCAACCCCCAAAGCTTCCAAGACATCGATGGAGAGGTTATTGTGGCATGTTTGCAGGATGAACTCCTCTGTAATAGGATCTCTGCAATTCATCGCCATGTTACGGAAACGCTTGACAAAATTGTCGACTGACTCTCCGTCTTTTTGCTTCTCATCCAAAAGGATTCCGATTGACACTTCGGTGTCATCATCGAAGAAGTTGCTGAGGAACAAACTTTCCATGTCATCCCAGCAATTGATGCTCCCTGGCTTGAGCCGTCGGTACCAATCGAAGGCGGGCCCACGAAGGGTGCCAACGAATGACCGGATCATTAAGGCCTCGTTTCCAGAGATTATGCCCAAATGAGACTTGAAATAAATCAAGTGTTGAATCGGCGAACTCTTCCCTTCAAACGGTGTGAAGTTAATCAGATTGAATTTGGTCGGGTATGGTATTGAATCCCATTCCCTCGGATAAGGACATGGAATACCCGTCTTCTTAACTTCTTGAGCCGTCATCAAAGCATTGATTTTGTCTTCAAGTTTTTGCATTTTCCCGTCATCGTCTTCATTTCTTTCTGAATGATGTCGAGTAAAGATAATTGGACCACCCCCAGTGAGAGGTGCTATTGAACCACCCCCAATATCGTTATTGGGAGGATCCGTTAAACCACCCCCAGCGTTATTGCCATTGGGAGGTGTATCAGCCATAATGACTTCATCCACCTCTGGATCACTGTCATCTACAACATTCCGAGTGTGGTGGCTGGATTCAAATCGCTGATTGGACTCAGGAGGTTGAGGCTGTTGAGTTAACAGTTCTCTCATTTGTTGGATAGCCAACTTCATTTCTGTCTTCACTTCAGCTCTAATTTCTTCACGTTGTTTGGCTAGAGCTTCCTGAAGTATTTGAGTGAACTGATCAGCAGTGATTGTGAATACTTCTCTGATTTGTCCTGTGCTAGACATTGTATCATCAGAAGCGATTGCAGAATAAGTGTCCGAGAATTCATCCTCCGAGGACATTCCTTCTTGCATTCTCTTGTAGTCTCTGCGTCTGATAGCTCCTAATTGGAGTCGAGACATCCTTTGAGCAATTCTTGGATTGACTTTTCCTTTCGGGGAAAAGTCGGGATTTGAGTCACTTGAATGCTGTTTAGACTTTCTTCTATCAGCTACGTTGATGGTGACTTCAGGGAATTCATCATTTTGGGCAGCTGATTTTCTTTTGCGGAAATGTCTCAGCTTAGGCTTTGATAATGCAGAGACTTTTCGTGGGATGATTTCTCGTTTGAAACAGTCACATTCTGATAATGCTGTTTTGACGAGTCGTGCACAGGAACAACGAGAGTTTATCTCTCGAATAACTCTCTTTCGAAAATTATTCACAACTTCAACTTGATAATACGATTCATCGGTATGATTGCCAAAAAATCGTATCGTCTGTTGGTATGATCTCCCAGGTATGACGATATCATTTGGTGAATGCGTCTTCTTCTGGGGGTATAAAACCTTGTTGGCATTCTCAGGACAATTTATTTTTGTCTTTAAGCGATCCAAGGTTATGTCGGGAGTCGCACGTTTAGAACCACCCCCTTGTGGGTATGGAGTCTTAACGGGCTCCGAATGCTGATTTTGCATAAGTCCAGACTTCAGAATCCAAACTTGGCGGAGTTTTGGTGATTCTTTGGTCACCGTTTCCTTCCTCCTTTCTCGTCTTTGTTGTAAGAGAGCACGGGCATGAACAACGTTTGCACGACGTTTTTGTATACGTTCTTGGAGGGTCGAACGAGCCCTTTTGATGAGTGTCCATTCCTCCGTTGTGAATTGTGCAGAAACGTGAGTAGTTCGTCGTTGCGTTGAACGAACCACTTGTTGTTTCCTCGACTCTAAGTCCGCATAATAACGAACTCCGTCGGTTTGTTCAAATGCCTTAGCTATTTGACGAGCAAGACGCTGACGCTGTCTCTGACGAGCTCTTTTCGTCAATGTCGTCGGGCTTTGATTCGATGACTCTTCAATTAGATAAGAGCCATTTTGAGCAGAGGTGTTGCGAGTGAAATTCTCAGCAACAATCAAGCGAGAGTCTTCATTTTGTGCCTTCTTTGGCATGTAAGTCTTCCTCAATTGTGAGATCCTCTTATACTTGCGAGACAATGAAGATCTTGAAGAGGATGATGAGAGATATTCCTCAAACTTGGTTTGGTCGAATTCGTATTCGACCATGGATTCAACTGGAATCTTGATCGGCTGCGACACGACGGTCTCGGCAGCGAGACCGTTGGCTCCCACTGTGGTCGCCAGCTTGTTTGCGTCAAAAGTTGGTTTTGTTATGGAATTCATTATATCTTCGGTCGATTACAATAAATTCAAAAGAGATAGTCTTTTTATAAGACTTCTTTTACACAACAAAAGGAAAATTACAACTCTTGAGAAACAAACGCAGGATCGTTGTTTGGATCGCTGCTTGCGTGGGATCTTTGCCTGTGCCGGGAGCGCTTTGACTCGTGGACCACCAAATCACAGATTCTGATTGAACCGTGAGGGGTTTAATGATTCTTCCTTCGTTTATCGAAGTAAGAATTTGAAGCGAATATCTTATCGATGTAAGATGTTCACTCTTCTAAAGATCAAGTCTGAGCTTAGATCTCTAGGACTCGCCAAAAGCTTCTTGAGGATGTTTGTGAAGAAGAAAGACTCTCTCTCTTGCTCTAATTCACCAAAACTCAAGGCTCTCTGCTCTAATCTGCTCTGGAAATGCTCCGCCCCTGTCAATGATGGCCATAGGGGGGTATTTATAGCCTCCTTGGACGATAACTGAAGAAATAGCCGATCAGCAACTAGCCCTTTAGGCGCGGCAGTTGATGCTGTCGCGGCTAAAGGGCGCGACAGTCGACACTGTCGCGGCCAAAGAGCGCGGCAGTCGACACTGCCGCGGCTAAAGGGGGAGTTACACCCACGTTCATACGTGTTTGAAACTGTTCTCCCACGACCTTTAACCACCTTCTTCGTGGTTTAACTGCCTGTCCATGTCAGCACACGTTCTATCTCTGATACGCCGCCACGTGGACTTCAAAAAATCATCGTATAACTGCCTTGGAACCGCCACAGCATTCCTCTAAAATAGCCGCGGCACTCTATGTTGCAGCGCCTTAGCCGCGACACTCCATTCCGTCGCGCCTTAACCGCGGTACTGCATGCTGTCGCGCCTTAGCCGCGGCACTGCATGCTGTCGCGCCTTAGCCGCGTCAATATACGCTGCCGCGCCACCATGTGTTGCCTGATGATTTGTAAATTGTTCTTCTATGTTATCTTGAGTGGTGTTTGAACGTCTGTAAGCATTTTTTGACGCCTACAGTAAGGATATAATTATTTCATCACCTATTATGTTACCTAGATCGAGTTGTTTTCCGATTGCATTTAGTATATCACATGCTAATTTATATGGTCTTCTCTTTGATGTTTTGACTTGCAGAGCTGTCTGCCATCTTGTTTCTTTTTTCATGGAGAAAATGTTGCGAAGATCACAACAAGGGTACTCCCTTATCTTTGGTCTTTGATATGCCATACTGTATGCAGTTTTGAGTTTTCTATTTATATTATGAAGACAAATAATACTACTTTCACATATAATATATTTCCATGATTTTATAGCTTTAAATTCGTCAATTACCCTTAGAGGAGAACTTTTCCATTTTGTAGTGTAATTGATTACCGATCTCCTCCTTCCTGCTGCTTATATATCTGTCTTTGATCCATTCGTTACATAAACTTTTAATCTGTTCCCAACATGCCATGCTGCAATTTTTATAAACATTGCTCTGTGCTACATGAAATTTGTGTCTCAAGCGTTAGAAAAGTGTTTTTCTTAATTGCATTGGGAAAAGCATGTTATGGAATTGAAAGGGGTTTGCACAATCATGATTCATGACGAATTAGACAGAGTAGACCCTTTGTATTATAGTTCCTTGTGTTTTCCTCCTGTTGCTGTTGTCTAGAAGTCAGGGACGCCTTGTTAGAATTAATATAAAACTATAATCCTTTATCCTCACCATAACTTCGAAGTTTTGGTGTAATGGTTAGAGGAACTAAACTTAAGATGGTATCAGAGCAACCCAGGTTCAAATCCCACCGGCCACGAATTAAATGTGGATTTTCTAAAAATTGACACCACTACGTGAGTCCAGGTTTCGACCCATAAAAAAGGGCGCTCGACCTGCGGGGGCATGTTAGAATTAATATAAAACTATAATCCTTGATCCTCACCATAACTTCGAAGTTTTGGTGTAATGGTTAGAGGAACTAAACTTAAGACGCCTTCACCCATTAGTTTACAAACCAGGTTATGCTGCATTTGTGCAAGATATATAAACTAAAAAGGTTTATATGTTAAATCACTTATCTTGTTTATGATATTATAAAAGCCCACAAGGTACAGGTTTTTCCCCTTCTTATTCCCTTTATAAATACATATGTATTAGGAACGTGAAGATGTACAAGGGGAGCAGGCTGAATCAAACGTGGACTTCCTATCCACCAAAGCAATTTCTTTGCTTTTGCAACAACCACCAGTTTCTTTCTCATGTTAACTTGTTAGTATCAAGAAATAGATCATATAGCTGATATCAATCATGTTGGTAAAGGTATGAAAGCAATTTTTCCTGAAACAATACGCGGGTGAACTTCTTATTTGGTTGTTATTGAAGTATAAATATTTCATGATTCTAAGCAGATGCCCCTTGCCACTCCAAGATGTAATTAATCTGTTATCTACTGGATGATTTTATAAGCTTGTTTAGTAGTTATACACTTGACAACTGAAGAGGTGATAGTGAAAGAAAGTAACAGTGTAGGAGAGAGATATTTTTGCGGCGTATCAAAAACATTTACTTTCAGGCTTAAAGGCTTCTCAATGCTTTCACCTCTCATACTGAACTAAACAACTTTCCAAAATGCGAAATCATGTGGAAGAAGTGGGATAGGGTATCAGAAATTCCCCCTCCTGATCTCTAAGGGCATGTTTGATTCCATGTGGTTCCATGTTTGGTTACCCATTTTTAGATCCCCAAGAGCAATCGGGAATGCATTTGAGGATCCAAAATGCGTAGTTAGTATCACACTTAAAATGACCACAGGACCAACTAGCAAACCTTGTCCACCTTACTCTTCTTTCAAAGAGGAACTTGGTGTATTGGTAGTGAAATTGCTTGTATTAAGAGAGGAGGGGACACTTTAGAAGACTTTTCCTAATTTTAAGAGATGGGTTGGGAGTTATCAACTTTACGTTCTTCTTGTAAGAATGAATCCACATCCTTCTGAAATAAACGCAACCCCTGAATTGAGTGCCAGCATTTTTTTGGAAGGTGAAACTGATATAATGTGCATTGGCTTATGAATGTAATACATGGAATTATCCAGCTATTCTCCTTCTCCTTCATTTCTTTATCCATTAGTAAGGCTTTGTAGTCATGCTTTAGTTGGAGAAGAAAATAAAGTAATAAGAAATTGGCTAGAAATTTGAAAATTTTTCCACCGCCTCAACATACACAAAAAACTTTTTTCCCCTTCTTATTGTGAATAAGACCTTTTAGTCACATTTTTTTCTGAAGGCAATGAACGTTGCAGTTTCGACTTTCAAGTAGGCAGGTGTATTAACCTTGGTCTCCTGATGAATTTTTTTTTTTAATAATGAAGGCCATAGCCCATCCTGCTTTACCACTGAGTCAAGCCTTAGTCGCGTCCAATGCACTGTTGATCCCAGTGGTTTCTTCTACCTCTGTAAGTGTCCGCACTGCAACTTGGGCAATTCCAAGCCTTATGGTTCAGTTACTAGGTTAACTTATGCCAATTTCTTGTTGTTGTGCGGTAAGTTTTTCTGTTCTTTTGATGGCTCTAAGAAGATACAAGGCAAATTCTTGTGATGAGACTGTATTTTGATTGTTATAGATAGGTCACTAGTAGAGTACTATGTTTCAACTTTTGCCTTGTATAGACTGCATAAATAATAATTCTTGCGCACCGTTCGCTTTCAGATGAATATGTTGATTAAGTTTGCTTAACAACATCCATTTAAGCAGAACTTAGCATAGACCATCATCTTAGGGTCTCATCAATCAGGTACTTGTTATGACTGTAACTTTACTGACATTTCCTGTCTGATTGTCTGTATCTCCTTCATTAGCATATTTGTCCACACTTTTGGACGGAGAATCTCATCTGTTATTGCCAAGGATCTTTCTGTACAGAGGTCCAAATCCAACCTTTGGTTTTCTTTCGCCTCGAAGTGATTCTGCTTTTCTGAACACCAAAACTGTCAGCAGTGGCAAGCCTTGATTTTGCTGATCAACCATGTTTGTTTCGCCTTGCCCCTCTTTTAAGGTCGTTTATGATGCATATTCAATTTATACACCGACGCCATTCTCTTGGTGCTCATTATGTACTTTTACTTCTGCTTCTATGTGACACCCTTTACTGGGGAGGTATTTATTTCCTACCCCATCTGTAACTTGGGTTGTTCTTCGGTTAGGACCATCACATTATTAGGCCTGGGTACAGCATGTGCTACATTGGACTGATATTTCTACTGCTCAGACACAACTTAACATCGCAATGAAGCTTGTAAGAATTATTGTAAGGATATAAATTGACGGACACCTATGACCTATCCCGTATGAGAGCACATGGTTCTCTTACCTCTCTAGTGTCTGCTGTTCACACTGGTGAAGAGCTGGGACCTCTGTGTTTCTCTGCGTGGTTCAGGGAAATCAAACCGGCGTCCTCACTTTCAGAAATGACGACAACGTATACAGCAGCTAGCTGACTTGGCGTGATCATGTGGTCCCCACCCCTTAGATATTTTTCCTCCCCCCATGCTTTCACCTCTTCTGATCAAGTGACTCCTCGTTTATTTAGAGGAAGTAGTTTGGTTCGAAGGTCTAATTGAACAAAGATATATTCTCGACTTTGACCTATTAGAATGGATCCTCCAGTCTGAATATCCTGCGATCCGAGGGATAAGATCAACCACCAAGAGAGTAGGATTTGTCCGTCCTTGTCAGGAATACCAGATGCTAATAAATTCTTAGCCCGGGTTGGCTGTGAAAGATGCGAATCCGTGTCCTACTAGCCCACTTGTTTGTTCAGAGAGTGGAAAATACCCGAGGTAAAGATAACGCAGAAGCGATGGAGAATTGCTGAGATTGAAAGACGAAGGGAGTGAAGAGATCAGCGGGCGTGGATCAGGGGATAAGGATGTTGGTGTGGCTTAAGCCCGCGTTTGCGCTATTTGCTGAAACTGAGTATCTATATTGGGGTGTAGTGAATTCTCTCCTCCCATTTCCTGGGCTGAAAACAAGCCTGGGACCACGATATTCCAGTTGTACGTTTACTTGCATTTCGCCGTCACAGAAAAGAATTTAGTGACCCGAAAGAGAGTACGCTTTCAAATTTTCTTTTGATATTTCTCTTTCAATTCCTTTCAATAATCAAATGGAGATGCATGTCAGTTGCCTGATGATTCTCTGTTTATTTTTCCACTCTAAGCATGTTGAGCACTAAGGTTACACATTAGGTACGGTCTTATGGTTCTTCTCACTTATTTAGTACTGGTGATATTTTCTATTAGCTCAGCAGCTTCGAGGCATGGAATAAGGGGGTATTTTTATTTTGACAAAAGGTGGATTAGAACATTAGTTTGTCCCTTCATTTTGTAAGCTAATTAATGCCGCGGGGCACGATAATAAGATTACAAATAGAGAAAAGCATACGCAGTATGTTTAAGAAGAAAACATTTGTTATTAAGAAATAGTTGGCGTTTGGTATCTAGAAATAGACTGCAAGCGTTACATTGTTTAAAAAAACAAAAAAACTTAGTGAATCATTAGAGATTATGAAGGGGGAAAACCAACCAAGCCTACGTCTACTGCCACCACCATCACATTTCGTGTCTTCTCTTCATTTTGGTTTGTTTGGATAACAAAATCACAAACCAAGCTTATTCAAAAAAATAATAATTAATAAGATATATATATACAAATAAGCTCATTTGTAATCTCTAAAATTGGTCTGTCTTGTTACAATTACAGTTCTTTTATGAAAATGACATTTTTATTATTGCAGCAATTTTTCACTGGTGAAAAATGAAAGAGTTTGGGGAGCTGGGTTGGGAGCATTTCCCCCTTTAAATGAAAATAAATATATACACACTCATCACCGGGGCAAAGCTACATGTATACGCCAACCTTTTGGTGATGTAAAAGGGGATTGTCTTCTAGAGCATCTCCAAGAGACTCCCTATCTCATGTCCTTGAGTAAATTTAGGGAGTATGAGGGGAAATTTTGGCTCCAACAAGCTCCTTATAATGAAGACTAAATATAGGGCTTATGATTTGGTATTCCAAATCAAAGACAAGAAATGACTCCTTATATTTAATCTCAACATAAGAAGCATTATTGGAGCGATTTTTTTCCCCTTTTACTCCCTATATTTAGTCTAGGACATGAGATAGGGAGCCATTTGGGGAGCATTGTTGGAACACTTGCTCATTGTTTGGCTCCATATTTCCTAGGATGAGAGATTTGCTCCTCAAATATAGGGAAAAACTAAGATCATTGTTGGAGATGCTCCAATGCCCATTGGCTGCTTTCTTTTCTTTCCTTTTCTTCCTGTGGCAATCTGTAGCTTTTTTTAAACAAACTAACGTGAATCGCTCGTCTTGGGCAGCAATAATTTTTTTTTTAACTAGTTGTTGACGGTTGACAGTAGCTCGTTCGATGGCAACACCACCGCACTTTGGCGTTTGCGGCATCCGCTTTCATCTTGATTGAGTAGGAGCCGTTCGTTCGTTCATCCATGAGCTCTACTACACAGCAGATATTTTATCCCTCTCTCGCTTGTCTGGATGCAACCGTACATGTGATGTGCAGACGAACAATATAATGGAAAACGCTTTGACATTTATATAATGAAGTGTATTTTTTAGTCCCCCCCCAGTGTGAGCGGACAAATCACAGGGCAGAAACACTTTGATGTGTTTATACAGGTGCGCCTTTTAGTTCCGCTAGTGAGATGGAATACATTCTCTGAGAGATCTTTAATTTTACATGGAAACGCTTTGATATTTACATATTTTCTAAACTCTAGTCTCCTTTTTATTCATTCAAAATTAAACTGTGTTTCTTTCTATTCTCTGTTCCCAGCTGCAGCCTGAAACATGAGAAATTTATGCGTGATTAAAATTAGCTGGCGAGCTGCATCGCTCTTTTTCCACTGCGTTTGTTGTACGGTGCTCAACGGTGCCACGTGATTCACAGGCCACCCCGCAGAGATATGTTTGGCGGGGGTGCAGTTGAAGACACACAGAAACGGACTGCTCTGTGGCCCCCGCGTGTCATCTATAGTAAGGTATCGATGTTTGGGTCCCAACTTTATGGCTTCTAAAATCATGGCCCACAGAGAATGCTCACTCTGATCAGCCCCTAGGACATGTTTGTTTGCACGGAAGTAATTGTGAAGTAGCGGAAGTAAAAGAAGTAGATGCTACTTCTGCTACTTCCAAGCAAAAAAGTGTGTTTGGTTCTCTGAAAAACTTAATTCCAATACTTCCCTAAATGTTTATGTGGCGCCTACGTGTCATCCTTACTTTCAAAATATTTTTTTAATCCTCAATACTCAGAAGTAGCTCGGAAGTAGTTGAAATACATATTAATTATGACATAAATAAATTTTTTATTAATATTTTCTTTATTAGCTACTTCTAACAACTTTTCATTGATAAAATTACTTTCTAATAATATTTCTAAATGTTATCCAAACAAAAAAAGTAAATGAAGAGGAAGCAGTTCTACTTCTATTACTTTTAAAAATATATGAAACAAACAAAAAAAAATGCTATTTCTACTACTTCCTACTTTATAGCTTTGAAAGTTACTTCTATAACCTACTTCTTATTTCTAATACTTCCATTATTGATCCTAATTAAAAGTCATATAATTTAAGATTTTCTGGACCTATTTTCGCTTTACGGGACATAATAAGGTATTTGATTTTTCCCACCCACTCTTTGTACGAGGGAGAGGCGGCCTTATAAAACAGGCCTCAATGAAGTGAGATTTGGTACTTGCGCACCCAGAGTCCTAATCGTACTTTTTTTCTTTTTCGCCCGCTCATCACAGATTTTATGGATCTCTGAGTTAAAGCTTTAGCTAGCTAGCTTCTTGCTGCTGCTGCTGCGGCTGGTGCACGAGAGAGAGAGATCACAACTGATTCCCGTGAGTGAGCTGGTAACTTCCCTTCTATAATTTTGCTGAGATTGACTTCTTGCATCAACTTAGTCCCGGCTTCGATCTATTTACTCGTGACTCCGATTCCTTTCATATGCGTCAATCTCGTGGGTTTCCGTGACTAATTGGGTATTGACCCAGGGGGGCAGGGCAGGGGGGTAGATTGGGGCTGAAGTGGAGCTGAAATGGGAGTCAAGTTCGCCGGCAACTGCTTGCATTGGTCTCGGCCGTCGCTGCCCCGTTGCTCCTCTTCTCCCCAAACCTTAGCCTCCATCGTCTCCTCCTCCG